AACCGAGAATTCCGTGGTTGATGTGACTTTTTCTTTCTCGACTCATTGATTTGATAACTGCTCATCCGCGCGCGTACACACACACAGCCTCTTCTAGGTGCGAACGGCGATCCCAGTCGTGCAGCCAACATTCTAATGGAGAGGTACGGAGGGGTTGCCTTTTTGCAATACTGGCGATTCAGTTTGGTCGTGCGCCTTCAACAACTCACAATGTTTTTTTTATTGGGGCTTTTGAAACCAAAACACACAGCCAACCCGTCCATCACAGTCCGCAGCCCGAGCCTGATGCCAGACCGACTGCTGTGATCCCCGCGAGCAACGTCGTTTACGATTTGATTGAATTGGCGGACGACATGCCGTCAGTCCCAGCCCCGGCGCCCGTGACAGTTTTCGCAACCGTATCCGCTCCGGCGCCAGTACCAGCACCAGTAGCATTGGCCGCGCAAGCACCGGCCCAAGCACCGGCTCAAGCACCGGCTCAAGCGGTAGCACCCTCAGTGCAGGAGCCAGCGGCGACTTTTGCGGCAACGTCTCCCGTCTCGGCAGACATTGTGAGACGGCTGAAGACTATGGGTTTCCAAGAAGAGCAAGCCCGAAGAGGTAAGGCTTTCTCAAAGGATGTGTGATGACTTGAAAACGATTGACTCGGTCGCGGGAAATGTGCTTGCTCACATGCCGTTGATTCTGCAGCCGCGGCGCGATTCCAGGACGATTTCGAACGAGCCCTCGAGTACTGCCTGCTCCACTGACTGAACGTTGGGTGTAGGATTTAGTTGCGTTTGGGTCTTTACTCATTGCCTTGACATTTCCGCAACACTGCGCAGTTGATGACAACTCCTGAATATTGTCTGAAATTTATGTTGCTGGGAAAGCCCACGCCATCCCCTCACATCCCCCCCCCGGCGCCAACTCTGGATGAGGGGTGAAATCGCATATCAACACTTTGAACCTGGGGATGGTCGACGCAAAATTTAATTAAAAGACTTAAACAACACACGAGTTTATTTTTTTTCATTTTGTACGCAGAGTTGGGCTCTTGCACATTCATAGCAATGCGTTATTGGGCCTGTATCGCGCGAAAGGCACAAAGCGATGAGTGTTACGGAATAAAAAGCGTCCATCCATCTCAGAACGACGAAAGCAACTCGATTTTACCTGCTGGCGCCATTGGCGACCAGTGATGCGCTCGTCGCGCTCGGCCATTTCCTTGTCAAACTTGTCCATATGGAAGCGCGTCGGCTATCAATGCACACAAGGCGTGAGAATACCAGCATGAAATCCGAACAAGAGCAATATTGTCAAAAAAGCAAACAAAACAGCTCGGACAACTGCAAACAGCCATTAGTTACCTTGCCCTCGAGCCAGTTGGCGGCCTTCAATCCAACATGTGTCGCAGTGAACATGCCGACGACAATAAGAAGGCCGGGAATCGACTCTTGCCAGGTCATGCTTGAATCGAAGTGTTAGGGGGGGGGGTTTTTCTGTATCCAATTCGTGATCAAAAGGCAGCCAACAATGAGGTTAGCTACTAGATAGATGAAGAGACATCTTTGTGGTGTTTTGCTATCCTTGGACGACGAGTTGGTGTTTGACTGAGCGACCATTGCAAGTCAAAGTCTGATTGCTTTTTTCAAAGGTTTCTCAGCGGGACGGTCAGGCTTTATCCGATCAGCCCTGACGCTGGATGGTTGTGATATTATTGACAGTCGCAGCTTCAAGTGGCCGACCGCCCGATCAACAAGGCCCGAAGACGGGAAACGAGGAGCACAGCATTGAAGAAGGAAAGAGAGAGGGAATGAGAAGGAAAGAAAGGCGACGTCGTTCAGAAGGCAAGACAGAGCAGCCTCGTCACGCCAGCATTGGGACGATGACATTTCGCTACATTCAGATGGTTGGGAGTGGTGGTCGGGGGGGGGGGACGAGAAGGCGAGAGGGAGGCGAAAGGACGAGAGGATCAAAGCAAGAGGATCAAAGGGCACGCTCTGGCGGCTTCAGACGCGGCCTTCTGGGGAGAGACAGCATCTGCCAACATTGGAGTGCGAGAGGAGGGACTGAAGAGTGTGGCAAGATGGGGAGGATGGGGGGGAAAGAGAAGGGAAAACAGGTGCACAGCAAAGAAAAAAAAAAAAACGATATGAACTCACAAAAACAAAGACTGAGGTCGTGAGTGGGGAGCGTATCAATGTTGGGTTTTAATAACCACAAAATTGATACTCTCCTCCTTCAAAACACACACAAAAAAAAGGCTACTCTTCGTTTGTTATGGATTGTATCAATGCTCGATTTGAAACCCAACATTACTCGATACTCTCATTTTTCCAGCAAATGAAACGGTACCCATCGATTTCCAGTTTATCGTATCGCTTTTCATTATTCTGTTCTTCATACTCTTTCCTTTGAAAACAAAAAAACTTGAACACTGATTTTCAACGCTTTGCTAAATTCTTAATTTTGAAGGAAGCCATTGTCAAAATGACGACCGAATTAGAGAGCCAATACATGTACAAAACGGCAAACATAGCAAAAGCGACCATTAAAGTAAAAAAGCATTCACACCGTCAAAAGCCATTTCGTCCTTTTGCTTTGTTTTCGCCTGCATCCTTCATCGCGCTCCTTGAAACCACCTTGGACCCATTGTAAGGCAAGTGCTGTTGGTGTGCTCAGTCAATGAGCAGCACTGCCTCGACAACAGAGACCAAAGGGACCCAAGAAAACAACGACAAAAAGGCAACAAGGAAAACAAAACGAAAAAAAGACAAAACAGCCGTCACACCAGTGTTGGCATGACTGACAAAAACGAAAGAGCAAAATTCAATACCAACAAAACAACCGAGACAAGAAGCTTAATCTTGCAGGGCAGTGATGGTAATAAACTTGAGGAAGGTGCGGACACCGACGCTCTTGTTGTACAGGGAGGAGAGGAAGTCAGGGCCGCAGAATTGCGGGGGAGTGAAAGGAGAGCAGGCATCGGCCGACTGGAAGACGGTCATGCGGGCAGAGAAAGCGTTGGGGTTGGCAGCAGCGTCGGCACGGAAGAGGTAGGGGCCGTTGTCCGAAAGGTAGGTGGGGCCGTTGGTGGGAGCACGGTTGTCGGCAACGTACTCGAGGGTCTTGCCAGAGGCAATGAAGCGCTCCTGGGCATCGGCGTCAGCAAGAGCAAAAGCGGACGAGAACTGAGCCTGGTGGACGTCGCGGCCATCGAGCTGGGCGCCAAAGAGGGTCGAGGTGGCAACGCCGGGGAAGAGGATGGAGGCAACCTGGGCGCGGGTCTTGCCCTTGCAAGCAAGAGCGTCGGGCGAGAAGTTCTTGTAGGCGGGGTCGATGTAGGCATCGGCAGTCCAGATCCAGGTGGGGACGGCAATGGTGCGGTTGCTGGGCCAGATGTACGACTTGGACTGGGTGAAGGCGTTGCCGTTGGGGGCAATCCAGTTGTGCATGGTGTAGGTGGCAGCAGTCTCCTCGTTGGCGTTGATGAACATGGCCTGGAACTGGTTGCAAGACTCGTACAAGTCCTGGCGGCGAGCCTCAGCCCACGGGGCAGAGAAGGCGGCAGCCTTGGCGTCGAGGTCGCGGAGACGAGCGTCGGCGAGAATGCCAGTCAGGGCAAAGAGGGTGCCCGAGGTGGTGGCAGCGTTAATCCAGGCAGAGATGGCAAGGGTGATGCGGACGCGCGAGGCAGCAACGTCGAAGGCAGCGGGGCGGTTGATGTCCTGGGCGTACTTGCGGACGCCGCTGGCAAAGTGAGCGTTGGTGGCGCCCTCAATGATGGCAATGGCAACGTTCGAGTCCTCAGCGCGGTCGGTGTAGCGGTAGGCAACACGGTCGGCAGTCGAGACACCGTCAAACTGGCCGGCAATGATCTGCGAGGGGACAGCGAACGAGGTGGCAGTGGGCAGGTAGCCGAGGAAGATGGCACCGACAACCGAGGCGTCGGCGGCAGCAAGGTAGGCCTCGACGGCGGGGCCAGCGCTCGAGTGAGCAACAACGAAAACCTTGACAGACGAGAAAACGCCGAGGCCAAAGTTGACAGCGTTCTTGGTGGCAGTCACGCCGGCAGCAACAGCGGCAGCGTCAGCGGGGGCGGCAAAAGTCTTGATGGTGTTGCGGCCAGTAATGGCGAGCTTGACACCGGCGAGGAGGGCGCTGTAGTCACCAGCGACGTTGTTGGCGTCGCCGAAGAAGGCGATGGCGACGTTGCCGACGAACACTGTTTTTGAAAAGACAGAAGACAGAAGGAGAAGGATGGGTGGAAGGTGAGATGACACATTGACATATTGAAAAACAAAAACAAAAACAACAAAAAATAGGTGGAACAAAATTGCCCGAATTTAGTCATCCTGATTTTTTTTTTTTTTTTTTAAGCAGCATGATCTATGCCGTCATCCGCAGTGAGACCATGCGGATCTTTTGTTTTTTTGTTCAAAATAAAAAATATTCCGCAGAAAGCGTGTCCACCAACGTGAACGATTGGACGAGCCAAAAGAAGGCGTGGGGAGAGCAGTCAGGCGACAGCGGACACAAAACCGCAACCGCAAAAATGTTGGAAAAACAAAACACAACCGCAAAAATGTTGGAAAAACAAAACAAAAACAAAAAAACAAAGTAGAAAAAAAGCAGGCATCACCCGAGCGTTCATGCTGGATGCAAAACGAAGAAAGGGCGAAGGGAGAGAGACGGGGTGGAAAGAGAGAGAAGCAAAGAGAGAGGAAGGAAAGAGAGAGAAGCAAAGAGAGAGGAAGAAAGAAAAAAAGAAGCAGGTGGGGGAAAAGACGCCATTCTTCGAAGCATAAACAAAAGAACAAAAAGAAGGGAATAGAATGAAAAAATGATTACAAATCAAAAAAAAATAACGACATGGAAAGAAGGATGTCAAAAGAACCAGGACAAACAAGAGAAAGCACTTACGACCGCGACGCTCGTTGTTGTTGTTCTCCTCGACGGAGCGAACGGGGGCCGCCATGGCGGTGGCGATAAGGGTGGCGAGAACCGCAAGCACAAGAGCTGAGCGAGCCATTTTGAAGAAGAAAAAAAAGAAAGAGAAGCTTGAAAAAAAAAAGAAAGACTGACGAAACACCCGAATTTGGCGGTCGCCTTTTGAAGGAGCGAGGCCACGCCCGCTTTGTTTACAAATTGTGTGTAGCACAAAATGCATAAACAGATCGTTCTTGCGGTTTTGCTCCCAAAAATGGTGGGTTTCCAAGGGGGAAAATCACGCTTCTGGCCAAGTTTTGCTGTTTTGTTGGGCGACGAGGCGAACGAAATGAGCGTTGCTAGAGGCGATTAGATCCCCTGCCTGGCGATTGGACAGATTTGCTTGTTTGTTTTGCATCCGATGAGAGATGGAATTAGGATCAGAAGGGCTGAAGGCCTCAAAACGCGCTGGAAAGGTCATGAATCTCGAATAACTGTCCGGTGCGTTTGGGAGGAATTTGAGCTGTGTGTGCCACAGTACCCGCGAGGAGAAGTGGGAAATCTTTTTGGTGTGTTGTTTGAAAATTCAAATTCGAGCAAAACGGAGCCGTGGCATCATCGATCAGCACAGGAAGGCAGACGGTAGATCCAGCGAGGCGCCAGATTCTGGCCCTTTTTGTTTTCTGTTCCCCCTCCTTTCCCCCCCCCCCTCGCTCATCACGGTTGGCCTGGTTGTTCACTGCATTTGCAAAAGTCTGTTGTCGTGCACAGGTTTTTGTTTTTTGTTTATTCGATCCAGGACAATTACCAAGCGACAAAACGAAGCAGCGCTGTGCGTGATTGGTGACGTTTTCAAAAACGCGAATAGTTTGACAGGCGTGAACGGCTATGACTTGCTGGTTGGGTGCCTTCAGGTGTACTTGCGCCCTCTTTTGTGGTTTATCGCATCAAAGGTCGAGCGAGCTTTTGCCATTTCTCAGGGGCTTTTTGGAGCCGCAGATACCTTTGGACATTGAAGTCAGCAGGGACAAAGCGGTTGTGGTTTTTTTTTTTTTTTTTTTTTGGTTGTTTTTTTGGGTTGTGTTTTTTGAGTTGTTTTTTTGGGTTGTTTTTTTAATCGATGGCATTTTAGGCGATTTTTTTTGTTTTCGAGCGCCCCCTCAATGGTGTTTTCCTGCAGATCAGCGGATCGCGACTCGTCTGCGTGACGCAGTGCAGGGAGAACACTGTGGCTCGCAGTGGGCACGACTCGCAGTCGCCCAAAAGCCAGGAAGGCCAGCGAGAGAAGGACGGGCCACATTGACTTGAGTTTTTTTTTTTTTTGTTTTTTTTTTTTTACGAGTCTTCATCGGATCGCACCAGCACACCCTCTTGTGTCGTTTTAATTCCGATAGCCACACCACAGAAAAATAACCAGTCTGTGGTTGCACGCGAGGGGAGACAGCGACAGGCACACAGCAAAGCGAGAGAGAGAGAGAGACCAAGCAGAACAACAGTGTGTGACCAAGTCAGCGGTAGTGGTGTGAAGTTTGGTGGAGGGAGGGGGATATCAAACACGCATCAACAACAAACAAACAAAATCTTTAAATAAAACCGCAACATTCCACTGCTTGTCTGTTTTTTATGAGGCAAAACAAAGTGAAAAAAAAAGTGTCTTCTTCTTCCAATCGCATTTGAGCAAGCACATAACCCCAAGCCCGAGGGGAGAACGGATGCCGATGAAGGGACGGAAATCCACGCCTGACTCAACAAAATCGAAAAACAGCAGTGCCACTTCCGCTTGGGGTTCCGATGGTTTGTTCAAAGTCAAGCGTGTGCGTCACCCTTATCCTCCACCCTTAGCTCGTGATCCATTGTTGACTGGATTGTCATTGTGATGGATGGTCGACTGCCCGATCCAGCCTCACTCATTGTTTTGTTTTTTTTTCGGGTTTTTTTTTTTTTTTTTTTTTTTGGATTGAGCTCCGTTTACACCTTTCATTTTTTTGTTTCTTTTCCTTATCATCTTCTTCTCCCTTCTCCCTTCTCCTTCTTGCTCTGCTGCACATTTCACACACGAGCACACACTCCAGACCTGCTCATCGACCCCCCACTGTCAAGCTCCCGCGCCTTGGAACAAGCTTAAACCTACGATTGTGAGTTGGCTTTTTTGGACGGGTTTTTGCCCTTGTGCCACATCCACCAGACTCCCTTTTCTTTTCGTTTTTTTCGTTGCTCTTTGCCCCAGTGTCTTGCTCGTGGGTTTTTCGGTGCGTGCTGGTGGACCACTCTTTGTCGGTCATTGTATTCGGTGTGTTGCGTTGGGCTGAGGAGGAGAGCGCGGCATCTATGTTTCAATCATGAAAAAAAACAACAACAGGTGGAGGTTTTTCGGTTGTTGCTGTTGTTTGTCCACATTTCGAGTTTTGGTCGCCTTGACCCGCTCCCCCAAATAGCGGTTGCCGCATGGTGAATCCATGCAATCAAGCAGCGTCTGTGACGGTTTGTGTGGTGTGTGCGTGTGTGTCTGGTCCGCTTGGGGGTCCCCGCTCGCCTTCTCTGCATTGCTCTTGTTGTTGTTGATGTGGTTTTTAACGCAATTACAAAAAAACCGCAGCTGTAAAATCAACAAACAACAAACAAACAACAACAACAACAAAAGTTATTTTGAAGTTGTAGTCATCGTGATCACTGGTTTAAAAAACATAAAAAATCTGTGCCACCGAGATAAGCGGATGGAGGAACGGAAAAGGGGCGGCACTGCATGGCAACTTTTGCACGTTTGCGTTGTATTCTCCCACACCCCCACAACGCATATGTACTCGGCTAGAAGTAACAATGATCGTGGTAGTCTAGTATCAGATAGAACAAACTGTTTTGACTTATGATTTCGTTTTGGAGTCTTATCAGTCTTTTTGTTCATTTTTTTTTTCTTCTACTTTTTCTTTCCTTCAAAACATACTTCTTTGTGAGTCATGATACCGTTCTCTTTTGTTGTTGTTTTTTTCCAACGGTTTTTTCTTCCCCTTCAAATGTGTGAACCACCCCCTTCCATCCCCTTCCCATCATCACTGCATGCTGACGCATCCGTCATGCACAAGCACGGCCACTATCAGACACGGAACAGAGGAATGGCGAAAGGGCGCAGTGTGTTCTTGCGGTTGTGGTTTCACCGCTTGTTTCCGCCTCAATGTGACAGTCGCGTGGCTGGTGCCCCGGTCCACCACACTCACCCAACACACGCACGCCAGTGCGCTCTCTCTCTCTCTCTTTCTCTCTTTCTCTTTCTCTCTTTCTCTCTCCCTCTGTGTCTCCTCTTTTCCTCCACCTTCTTGACGCTCGTGCTTGTGCGCGCTTTGTTTTGAAGCTTCTTTTTTTGCTTCCATTTTTTTTTTTTTTTTTCGATCGTTTGCCGTTCGATTAGGTGCAGGGAGTGGAGCGAACCACCCTCTCCTCCCCCTGCTTCTTTTTGCAGCCAAATCGAACATTGTCTTCCACACGTCTTTCTCGGTCGTTCTTTGTGTATCTTTCGCCGCTAACAGCCGCAGCTGAGCCATGTGCGCGCAAACAGGCTTTTTTTTTTTTCTGTCATCTTCCGACTGGTTTTGTTGGATTTTGTTGGGTTTTTTTTTTTTTTTCAACGCCCCCATTTTTTTACACTGAGCCACATGTCTGTCTCTGCTCGCTGTCCATCCGTGGATGGTTTTTGCCCCACACTGTGCAGCATGTTCGACCGTTTTCCCTCCACTCAACTTGCACCATCGAAGCGGAGGATTGGAGGTGGCGACATCACAAACTATTTGAAAATGAACGAAGTGCAGTTTCTCCATTTGTGATGTCGCGCGACTCGTGTTTCTTCCCCGCTCTTTTTCGTGCGTTTCGCCATCTCTTCTGGTTTGTCGAACGAAAGAACAAGCACCGCGCTTTTCAACATGTCTTTTTTGCTTCTTTTTTTCTTCTTCTTCTTCCTTTTTTTTTTTTTTTTTTTTTTTTTTTTTTTTTTTTTTTTTTTTTTTTTTTGTCTTTCTTTCTTCTGGTTCCTTTGTATGGTTCCGGCATTAAAATAAGATCCCTGCACATACCGTTCTCCGTCGTTCTGCTGCTTGTTGATATTTGGTTGTTTTTTTCTGCTTTGGGTGTGTTGCGGTATTTTGTCGCAAATACCATCACCTACCTTGTCGACATGTTTGTTTTCCTCACTTTGTGTCTATTTGCTTTTTGTGTTTGTAAAAAATCAACAATTCACAGAATCCAACCATGCACGCAAACAAGCTGCTGCTTCTGATCGCGCTGGCTGTGCTCGGCGCAAACGCATATGTGCCGCCTACCGAGATTCGCATTGGTCAGCTCTTCTCCAATCTGTCCACTGGCGTGGATGCCATGCTCGGCAACGCCAAGGATATGGGCACGACTGCCAAGCTTGCCGTCGAAAAGCTGAACGCCGACAACTTCATCCCCGGCGTCACCTTCACACTGGTTCAGGCTGACATCAAGGCTTACCAACCCGACCTGTCCGTTTATGGCACGCTGGATTTCATCCAAAACCACAACATTCACTGCCTCGTTGGCCCCCAGCAAATTGCTCCCACGCGTGTCACGGCTGGCATTTCCGGCGCGCTCAAGGTGCCCCAGCTTGGTTTTGCCACCGACGACGAGATGGCCAGCCGCGCTCTGTACCCCACCTACTACCGCATGCAGCCTTCGTCGACCTACAACTACCTGAACGTGCTTCGTCTGATGGCCTACCTGCACTTTGACCGCATTGCAATCATTGACTCGAACACTGCTCTCTACCCCTCGTCGTTCTTTGCCGAAGCGGCTCGCCTCAACATCACCATTGTCGCCTACGTGACCATCACCCCCGTCGGTGCCACCTATCCTACCATGCCGACAATCATTGAAACCCTCAAGAACTCGCGTGCTCGCGTTTTCCACTCGGCTGCTGCCAAC